GCCAATAATGAGGATAAAAAGGAATCATAAAAAGAACACTCAATCTAAAAACAGTCAACAAGAGTTAAATGGGATATAGAACAGGTGGAACAAACAGAAATCAACCATCAACGTGGTAAATTTAAATCCAATTACAACAGTGTTCCATGTACACTTGAATAGAATGTGTATTCTGTAGTTGTTGAGTGTTGTATTCTCTAAATGACGGACTAAGTTTATTAATAGTATTGTACAAATTTTCTGTATCCTTCCCTTTTTAGGTCTACTTTTTCTGTCAATTACTGAGGAGTGTTAAACTATCCAGCTATGATTGTAGATTTGTCTATTTTTTTGTGTGATCTCTCAAGTTTGCTTCATTTATTTTGAATATATCTCTTTAAGTTCATACACAGTTTGATTGTTATATCTTCTTATTGTATTCATCCTTTTAATTTTGTGAAATGTCCCTCTTTATCTGTGTTAAAAATTAAAATAATCATTGTCTTCTTTGCCTAATATTAATATAACCATTACTTTCTTTTATGGTATACGTTTGTCTGTTCTATTACTTATAACATTTTCTTCTTTTTTTATCATGTTATTTTCAAATAATTTCAACATTAAGGAAGAATTTTGAAAATGTTGTGATGAACTGAAATTCTCCAATTTTTGACTTTTTGCCATGTTTGCTTTATTACTTCCTCCCTCTCTCTTTGTCTGTCTCTCTGTATGTATGTGTGTGTGTGTGTGTGTGTGTGTGTAGTATTTTAATCCCTTATGGTTTATGTTAATTTTGATTAACTATTTAAGATGTTGTCTGTTTTCTCCATATAGTTATAATTTTTCTTTTTGTAATAAGTACTGTTTGTTTTGAAATACGTTGAGACCATGTATTTATTTTGTTAGTTACCAGATGTCCTTCACTTCTTTCCCTCTTATAGTATTCATTAGTGATTCTTGCCTGAAATCAGTTTTTTTCTCTAATAATCATTAATACATGATTTTAACTAATTTATTTTTTTTTATTCCTTTTATATGTATTACTTGGCATTCCATATTAAGGAGTCCTTCCCCATTATCTATCTATATAGCTAGCTACCTACCTACCTACCTACCTATCATTTCCTATTATCATATCAGAGTCATGGATTCTTACTTCATTCAGTTGGGTTATTCCTTTAATGACCTTATTCATTTTGATACTCAAATTGTCCCAGATGTAGCTAGTGTGAGCCACTTCAAGCTGGCTCCTGTGCCTTGTTGATGTGTTCTTATCACTTTGGGGACATTTCCTAACTTAACCATGATATTATTCATTTTTTCAAGGAGCTCAGTTCTTTTTAGTGCTGAATGGCATCTTGACAGTAAGATCTAGACATGTTCCTTGTATTTAAATGTGTGTCATTTTGAATCAACAAGTAGTTTGGTATTGGTTTTTTATTCGTTCTGCCTAATTGGAATGTTTATTCCATTACATTAATATATTTAGTGATTTGTTTGGATTTAAGCCTTTCATCTTGCTGTTGTTTTTCTATTTGTTCCATTCATATTTTTTTTGCTCCTTTTTTTCCTTTTTTCCTTCCTGCTTCTCGATTAAGTTTTATTAGTATTATGACTTAGTTTCCATATTGGCTTACTGGAGTATAACTTTTAGTTTTATTTATTATCTGTTTGTGTGTTTGCTCTGGGAATTATAGTGTGTATCCTTAACTTATCACAGTTACATGTAATTTAAGAATCTTACAGCAGTATAGTATAATTTATCTTTTCACTTCCTTTTCTGATATTGTTGGCATATACTTACTTATACACTTGTTTTTAAACACTAAAATATGTTATCGTTTGTGTTTGAACATTTGATAGTATTTTAAAATTCAAGAAAGAAAAGTAGTTCATTATATTTATCCTCATATTTGCTATTTCCAAGCCTTGTCCTTCTTTCTTACAGATCTGTGTTACCCTTTGGTATCATTTTCCTTCAGTGTGAAAAATTTCTTCTAGCTCTTCTTTTAGTGTGTATCTCCTGGTTTAGATTTTCTTAGCTTTTGTTTGTGTAAAATATTTTTTCATCTGTTTTCAAAAATATATTTTTTAAGATGTAGAATTCTAGGCTGGCAGTCCTCCCTTTCCCCACACTTTAAAGATGTTATTCCTCTGTTTGCTTTCATTGTTTCTGAAGAGAAATAAGCCATTATTCTTGTTGTTCCTCTAACTGTATTGCCTTTCTTCTCTGGTTGCCTTTAAGGTTTCCTCTTTGTCTTTGCATTTTGCAATTTAACTGTGATTTTCCTGTGTGAGGTTTTATTTGCATTAATTGTGTTGGGGTTTTGTTAAACTTCTGAGATCTGTGGGTTGAGATCTTTTATTAGGTTTGGAGATGATGTTGCCAATTTATCCTTATATATGTCTCTTTTCTCATTTCTTCCTCTTCTGCAATTCCTAGCTATTTGATGTATCATTCAGATTTCATCATTACTTGAGTGAACTGAATGTGAGTCTCAGTTTTTATTAGTTTCAAATTACTTCTGATTTCAATTCTACAAATGCTATGGTAGAAGTCTTTTTGTCTTTAAGACTCTGAAATTCCAAAGCTTTTATCCAGGGGCTTATCTTTTATTTTAACAGGATTTGAGTTGGGCTGGGTTTCAGCTTTAGTTAGTTTTTACTCTCCTTTGGATTGAATTCGAGTAGAATCTAAATCCCTTTCAAAATTTGGAATCTAAATCCCTTTCAAAAATTGCAAAATTTGCAAGTCCCTTGGAATCTAAATCCCTTTCAAAATTTGCAAGACTTCTCTCTGATTTCTAGCACTACCCCTACCATTTCTTATGGAACAGAATTCTTATAGGCGAGAGTTGTTGTGCAACTCTCTCCTATTATTTTTGTTTGGGGGCTCTTCCAAGATTCCAGTCTGTAATAGCAGCCCACACTGTTAAGGGGTTGGATGATTTTTTTTTTTGTCCCACCAAAGTCTCTCAGCCTATGAGTATTTCACTCCCTCATCTATGTGTACCCAGATTAGGCAATTGGCCTTAGATATGAAAGTAGCTGCTACTCTTTGCTTATCTTTCAAGGGCTTTATCCCAGTATGCAATTTAATTCAGTTATACATTTTTTGTGTTCATTATACTTCATTAACATTAAAGGAATGTACAGCTTTTAGCTTAGATCTAGCTTTCTTGTGCTTTTGAAGGTAGTGACAGTTTTTCTCAATCTTCTACATCATATCCAAGAATGGAACTTCTACTAGATCTTCGTAAAGCATAATAGAAATAAGTAATAAGTAGAGATGCCAGGAGAGTGATTAATATCAGGGGCACCAGATTATTTTGGACACCTGTGTTAATCACTTTTATAGCAACCTGTACTTATTCATAACTCATATTACAATTGATATATAATTATGAGTTTAACATATGAATGTAGGAACCATGACTATTTCTTCACCACTGTAATTTCAATATTCCATCAACACAATGCTCAGCACCTTATATATTTTTGGAATGAAGTTTTAAATTCAGTAATAGTTTTTGAAAGGGTAGCAATAGGCCAGAGGTTATTGTTCAATTAAATATATCTTTACATGGACCCTGTAAAAATATTTTGAGGTATCGTTTTTTCTAACTGAATTTTCTAACGGAATTCCTTGCATTCTGTAGTCTTATTTATTTCTAATATTTTTGTCTCCACATAGCATGACAATGTAGCTAGCCTGTATATTTAGTATTTTAAGATTTTTAATTGAACTATACTAAGCCTCTGATTTTATTCTGTAGAGAAAAATCAATGAGATAAAATTTGTGACCATTGTTCACAAGCAATAAATTATTGAAAAAGAACTGCTCACAAATCTTTACATTTATTTCTTGTTAAAGAAGTATCATTACAATACTAACTTTATTATTGAAGAAATATTTGTCTCAAAAGGATATCTTTTATAGAAACCATCTTGGGTGATGCTTTCAGGGACTTATGAAGGATGTATAGGTCTAGAATTTCATTTGTTGGTTGCAAGATTGTTGTTTTCTTTTTTCAACTTTGTATATAAAGATAACTTTGGAATCATTTTTTTTACGTTTAGTTTCCTTTACTGAATAGAAAATGTCATTATCGATCATTTTTGGAATAGTAAGGGTTATAAAACATTTATGCAGAATTAAACTACTGGTTTAGTTTCAAAGTCAGTGGTTACCAGTGAGGAGAGGGGAGAGAGGAGGGGCAAGATAGAGGTAGAGGATTAAGAAGTACAAACTACTATGTATAAAACAAATAAGTTACAAGGATATATTATATAGTACAGGGAATATCGCCCATATTTTATAACTTTAAATGGAGTATAATCTTTAAATTTTTTGATTCATTATGTTGTACACCTGAAAATTATAAAATCTTGTAAATCACTTTTTTAAAAGTCCAAAAAAAGTAACTGTTGGCTTGAAACATCCATTTTGGAATGAGAGGTAAATAGACATTATATGAAAGATGATGACATAGGAGCAGAGATTTTTTTTTTTAGGGACTTTATCAGCTAATTGTGCAGAAAGTCTACAAAGAGATCAGGTTGAAAAATTATAAATATTAACTGCGAAGGAACTTGAATGTATGGGAGAAATAATGGTTTCAGAATGCAGAATCATGTTAGAGAACTCTGTCCTGAGATGCAGTATAGCATAATATTTAAATACTGTAGCCTTTAGAGCTACACTGCCTGTATTGAAATCCTTTTTTGCTATCTACTCACTGTGTGACCTTCAGCAAGTTACTTAACTTCTCTTTACCTTCATTTTCTCATCTGTAGAGATAATACTAAAACTAATTCATATGGTTATTATGAAGGTTAAATGAATTTTGATACATTAAAATACTTGGAATCTAATTTCTGATGTACAATAAATGTTATTTCTTGTTGCCATTATTATTATTATCTTTATTATTATTACCATGAGTACCACTGGCACATTGTTTGTTTGCAAAATAATTTTCCTACCTGGTATGATTGACTCTTGACATTTCCTTTTCAGTTCAACTGAAGTTGATGACATGATTCGTAAATCTACAAACCTGTTGCTAACTAGGACTCTGAGCAGCTCTCTGCAGAATGTCATTAAAAGGAAGAATATTGGACTTACTGAGGTAAAGCTGCTCTTATTGGAGGCAGCAAGGCAATTTGTGAACAGATGTCCTAAGCTCTGGGGCTTGTGTGTGAATTAATTATAATTTTCTATGTGCTCTGTCATGTTCTTTCTGATGGACTTACGGTGAAAGTGCAAAATAAATTCCTTGTGTTTTTCATTCAGTGCCTTGGAGAAATCCATTATTTTTTGGAAAAGTCACTTTTTTTCTCTCTCTCATTGTCTTCTCTAGTTTAACTGGTTCTCTTTTCTGAGGTTGTTGGGTTAAATTTGTATTATTTGCCATTGATTATATAAAAAAATTGTTAGTTGGAGAATAGAGTCAACATCAGTGTCCTATTTAAAATAATGGCAGTTCAAATACAACATACAGCATGAAATCACATTTTGCCTACGTAAGTCATTGATGGCAGGGATATTGGCATTCATAGTCACTGGTTAGCGTTAGATTTTGTTTTTGAGATACATCACATGTATGAATGGTAAATTACTCTTTATTAACATGTAAGTCTGGGGATTTGGGATTGAGGAAATGTGAGAGAAAGGCAGTCATTACATTTCTGTGGAAGCTTACACAATCTCACAAAGGGTGGAGAGTTATTGTACATAGGTTGAGAACAGTATCTTGGCAAACTGAAGATTTGACGTATTGGCTTAAGTCCTAAAACTTAGAAAGATGCGACGTTTCTCTTCTCTTAGAAACCCAGGTTTGTATGGGAGCCTCAACCTCTCATTTTATGGAAATTAGAGTGCCAAGTGTGAGAGAGCTTGGAGGACTTTTCTTCACAGGTGAAGGGAAGGGCTGTTGGTCATCTGTTTTTAGAGGTGGTATAGTTTCAAAGTCAGTTGGTCTAGGAAAAATTGACATTTTCAGATATACGTTATCAAGGATGAACGTCAGTAAGTGGTTAACGATACTGACCCATAGATGAGTACAGCTGGAAGACAGGTGAACATCTATTTCTGATTTTGGAATGATTGTTTCTTTTCCTGTGTTAAGATTTAAAAACACTGTTAAATACTGTATTATAATATGGGACATTGGCAGTGATTGAATTCTACTTATAACCAACTTTTTTTTTATAATTTAAAGTCACATTTGACATTATTATGTGTATTATTATGACACATTATTATTATTATTATCCCCTCATTTTGCAGAGCTTCGTTTCTCTTGCCTGGTATAGAAATATTAAGCATTGCCATTATGTGTCTGAGAATAGGCTAACTTCTTTTGTAATCAGGAATGCTACAGAAAAGCAAAGTTGGATTGAAAATTTGGAGGTTCTTATGCTTTTGTAGATTATTCTGTTCTCCTTTTCTGAATCCCAAGTAGGACAGAAAATTTATTTTGTGAACTACCTCTACATTAAAACTCTTGATATAATTCTTCTTAGGCCATTTGATTTATCAATCTCTTAAAAGCCATTTTATTTAATTAATTAATTTTTATTTAAGTATAGTTGATTTACAATATTGTGTTAGTTTCAGGTGTACAAAAATAAATCTGTTTTAAACAAGTAGCATAGCAGGAACATGGTGTGATAGAAACAGCTTTGGACACAGAAGACTCTGGAATTTAGATGTGACTATGCCATTGATTTACTGTAGCATCTTAAAAGAAGACCTAACTCCTCAGTTCTTCAGTTTTCCTGACTCCATTGTCCATTTCAAAGGCACTGCACAGATCAAGTAACAATAGGAAGAAGCAGTAGGAGCTTATCAAGAAGTACTGTATCATAGTTCTTGACATAATTTCAGTGAATGCTAAATGTTATTCCTAAGTCATTGGATCTGTTTCGGCAAAAATACTTTTGTTATCAAAATCTTTACATATGAATGAAGGAACATCCACACAAGTTTATTTATTTTGGCTATGATGGTGGTGTGTACCTGTATAGACACGTACAAAACCAGTGATTTTTTTCATCACCAACCAGTAAATCTTTGACTAACTCTATTATTCACCTTTTATGAAAGGGAGGACATTATATCCTTCTTTATAGGTAACTAAAGTGATTTCACATCTGGAATCATCATCAGTAATGGGCAGTGTTTGTGGAACAATTTATATTCTTCAGTGTCCATTCACAGATAATCACCGTATTTATTACAATAACAAGACTTGATGGAAACTTGGGTGATAGAGGTGGTGACAAGTGGTCCTATTTGGACTGTAGAGCCAGCATAGTTTCCTGATGGTTAAAAGTAAAGGAAGCAAGAAAGTGAGGAATTGAAGATAACCCCCCAATTTTTTTTATCTGATCAACTAGAAGGCTGCATATACCATGTGCTATGATGGCAAAATCTTCAATTAGAGCTAAATTTGGGGTGGAGGAAGATTGGGAATTTGGTTTTGGACATATTCAATTTGTAGTGTTTATTAGACATACAGTTTGAGATACTGAGTTAACAGTTGTATATATGAGTTTAGAGTTTGAGAAGGCAGTTCGGCTGGGAGATAAAAAGTTGGGAGCATAAAAATGATATTTATGGGCTTCCCTGGTGGCGCAGTGGTTGAGAGTCCGCCTGCCGATGCAAGGGACACGGGTTCGTGCCCCGGTCCGGGAGGATCCCACATGCCGCGGAGCAGCTGGGCTCATGAGCCATGGCCACTGGGCCTGCGCATCCGGAGCCTGTGCTCCGCAATGGGAGAGGCCACAACAGTGAGAGGCCCGCGTACCGCAAAAAAAAATAAGATCAAAAAGTCTACAATTAATCAATGCTGGAGAGAATGTGGAGAAAAAGGAACCCTCCTACACCGTTGGTGGGAATATAAATTGGTATAGCACTATGGAGAACAGTATGGAGGTTCCTTAAAAAACTAAAAATAGAGCTACCATATGATCCTGCAATCCCACTCCTGGACATACATCCAGAGAAAACCATACTTTGAAAAGATACGTGCACCCCAGTGTTTATAGCAGCACTATTTACAATAGCCCAGACATGGAAGCAAACTAGATGTCCATCAACAGATGAATGGATAAAGAAGATGTGGTATATTTATACAATGGGATATTACTCAGCCATAAAAAGAATGAAATCATGCCATTTGCAGCAACAAGGATGGACCTAGTGATTATCCTACTATGTGAAGGAAGTCAGACAAAGGCAAATATCGTATGATATCACTTATATGTGGAATCTAAAAAATGAATCAAATGAACTTACTTACAAAATAGAAACAGACTCACAGACTTAGAAACTTATGGTTACCAGAGGGGAAAGTTGAGGGGGAGGGATAAATTAGGAGATTGGGGTTAACGTATACACACTACTATATAAAGAATAGATAATCAACAAGGACCTGCTATATAGCACAGGGAACTCTACTCAATACTCTGTAATAACCTATCAATATATGGGAAAAGAATCTGAAAATATATATATAAGTATGTATAACTTAATCACTTTGCTGTACACCTGAAACTAATACAACATTGTATATCAACTATAATTTAAAAAAAAAAGATTTGAAGTAAGTTTTAAAATAAGATTTCTTTTTTTCTAAACCTTTGCTTTTTCACCAGACTAATTTGAAAATGATATCATGGAGAGAAAGGAAATAAACCACTAGTTTATTAATCTCAGAATATCAGAGAATTAGTTAAATTTGGAAGGTTTACAATGAATCAAAGGATACTCTGGTTCTTTGTGAAGAATGTATTGATAGAAAGTCTTAAAATATAAATTAGATTTAAAAGAATTAATTTATTACAGATGATAGCAGAATACCTTCACTTAAGTCCCTACTCAAATGTTATTTCCTTAAGGAGTCCTCCTTGACCACCCTATCTCAAAATAGCTCAGATCTAACATCCCCATGTAACTCTTTATCCTCCCTTCTATTTCCAGTGTTTATTACCACCTGCCATCATACTATATGTTTAGATGTGTATGTGTTTACTGTAATATCCATGAAGCCAGGGACTTTGTCTTGTGTATAACTGTGGACAGCTCTATCCCAGTTCCATGGCACATAGGAGTTATTAATTAATGAAAGAGAGAAGAAAGAAAAAAAAAGAAGTAGGTAGGTAGGTTCTTAGGGCAAAGTTAAAGAAATTTAGAGGTCCTGGTAGTGACACCATTTTGAATACTTATATTTTTATGATTATAATAATGCCCCAGAAGACCTGAATAAATGACCAATGATTTGTATTCACCCTTTGTTTTTATTATAGTCTGGATTGATGACCATATCTCCCACATACCATTTGTCTTCATCCCCAATTGTTAACAGCAGTGATGTTGCTAGTATTTTAAAACATTTTATACGTAAGTCTTTTCAAATATGAGCTCTGTACTAGACCTTTGAATTTGCAACCAGGAGTTCCAAGTATTTTAGCAGTTTATGTATTTGCCTTGGAGAGGGTATAAAATGAGTAGCTGACACAGCTTTTTATACCCTTGCTGGGGTGAAATGGAGATAAAATTCCTTGAAGTCTTATGGATAGCTGATTTTTGTGAATGAGAACCAAGGGTGTTATTTAGTTCTTCATCTTCCTGCAAATCACCATTTGAGAGGCATTGGTGGTGTGGAGAGGAGTCATTTTCTTGGTTTGGATTAGTCTATTTGGAGCTCCAATGTACTAAATTCTCTGATTTGGGAAACAATATAATACTGATCCTAATTACAAGTAGATGTGTATACCCCAGAAGTAATTTATAATTGGGAATGGACACCTAAATTTGTGGAATTTAGGGCTTAGTTTTGAACTATTGAAGAAGATGAAGCCTTTTTTTTCCCTGGAGTTCGTCAAAAATACGAATATCTTCTGTGATCATGGTTCAGACTCTGCTGTGGTAATCGGAGCAGGGTTGGAAAAGAAGTGACTGCCACAGTCTAGTCTGTGCCTTCCTTATTAGATTCTCTCTGATACTAGGAAGGAGAGACAAAAAATTTCTGCTTCTTAATGGTTTTTAGCCTAAGTGACTTCTATCATTTAGCTGTGAGAGGTGTTTGTTTGCTTTATAGTGTTTTCTTTTCTTCTGGACAGG